ACTTAACTCTTTCTAAAACTTTAATTTCCCTTTGCCATAAAACATAAAAATTCACAGGTTCTCAGGATTAGGACATGGACGTCTTTGGAGGGTCATTATTCTGCCTAATGTAGTTGGTACTGTGGTTATGTAATTTACTCACACATACATATATATATATTACAATAAAGCAAATGAGTAATTATAAGGTTATAAGGAATCAAACTGATTTTCAGCATATGATAAAAGACGCACAAATATAAAATCACATAAAGTTAAGTAAAAACCTTGTAATCTCTAAATTGAATTGGAAGTGCTACATTAAACTTATGATTAATTTTCTCTTTCTAATGCATACATATGCATTTTCTAACTCTGTCTACTGCAAAGGCAGTATGGTGGTCTTAAAACATGTCCACAAGGTCTTGAGGAAATTACGTTAAGTGAAATAAGCCAGATAGAGAAGGACAATCTCTGTATGACTCCACTCATATGAGGAATTTAAACATGTGGACAAAAAGAACAGATTAGCAGCTACCGGGGAAAGGGGGGGTTGGGGGGGGCACAAAGGGTGAAGGGGTGCACCTACAACATGAGTGGCAACAATAATGTACAAATGAAATTTCACAAGATTGTAAACTACCATAAACTCAATAAAAATTAACTTAAAAACAAAAACAAAAACATGTCCACAAGGTAAATAAACGTCGAATTACTATGTTGTACACCTGAAACTAAAAAAAAAAAAGTGTGCAAATTCCTTGACACTCCTTTCATCATGACACAGAGTTTATGTCCCCTCCCTTTGAACCTGGGTAGGGGGTGTGACTCTCTCCAAGAATAGAGTACAATGGAGGTGATGCTTCATGAGTTTCAAGGCTAAGTTAGAAAATACCGTATAGCTTCTGCCCATTTCTCTTGGAACACCTGCTCTGGGATCCTTCAGTGACCATATAAGAAGTCCAGATATGCTGAGGCGGCCAGGTATAAAGAGCACAGAGAGGGTGGGAAAGAGAGAGATGCCTGTGGAACCTCAGCCATTCTGACCCCCAGAAGATTAAGTCATTCCAGTCCAGACATTGGACATGTAAGTGAACAAGTCTTTGACAAGCGCCCGGACACAGGAACTAACTGCAATCACATGAGAGACAGCCCCCTAAGTGGGAACTACCAGAGTCCTGGTCAACTGCTGGAACCATTATAAAAGGTAATAATAATAAATTATTGTTATTATTTTAAGCTTCAGCCTTGGGGTGGTTTGTTACACAGAAAAAGATAATCAGAACAAGCAGTTAGCACCTATACTGTGATCTTTAAAATTAAACCAAATCAAGATTCCTTGGAGAAACAGCTGAGCCCAGGGCTAAGGCTGGAAACGTCCATGATGGTCCTGGGATATGTGGTGCTTGAAAGCTCCATAGGACTAAGCTGGCACAGGAGCCACTTAAACGATCCTCACAACTGGCCAAGGGGAGGACAATGACTGCAGCGGATTGAAACACACCAAAAACATAAAATTCCATGGGTACTTAAGGATTTTTTTTAAAAGGACTAATGGAATTGGATGGCACATCATCTCATTACTCTGAAAGCTGATAAAGTAAAAGAATGAAGCTTTGCATAAAGACACACAAACAGACCAATGAAATGGAATAGAGAGCCCAGAAATAAACCCTCACATATATGACCAAGTGATCTTCAACAAGGGTGTCAAGACCACTCAATGGGGGAAGGACAGTCTCTTCAATAAATAGTGTTGGGAAAACTGGGTATCCACATGCAAAAGGATGAAGTTGTACCCTTATATAACCCTATATATAAAAATTAACTCTTCTTCACAAAAATAGAACAAATAACAAATAATCATCCTAATGGGGATGGCTACTATTTTGAAAAGCCAGAAAATAACAAGTGTTTATGAGGATGTGGAGAAATTGGAACCCTTGTGCACCGTTGGTGGCATTGTAAAATGGTGCCACTACTATGAAAAACAGTATGGGGGTTTCCCAAAAAATTGAAAATTGAACTTCCATATGATCCAGCAATCCCACTTCTGGCACATATCCGAAAGAACTGAAAGCAGATCGTGAAGAAATATTTGCACACCCATGTTCATAGCAGCACTATTCACAATAGCTAAGAGTGAGAAGCTACCCAAATATCCATCAACAGATGAGTTGATAAACAAATGTAGTATATACATACAATGAATATTATTCAGCCTTTAAAAAAGAAGGAAATCCTGTCACACGCTACAACATGGATGAACCTTGAGGACACTATGTTAAATGAAATGAGACAGTCATAAGAATACAAATGCTACATAATTCTGTGTATATGAAGTTTCTAAACTAGTCAAATTCATAGAAACAGAAAGTAGAATGGTGGTTACCAGCGGCTGGCGGCGGGAGGGAAGTGTAGTTGTTGTTTAATGAGTATAGAGTTTCAGATTTGCAAGATAAAAAGTCCTGGATTTCTGATTCAATGTGAATATACTTAACACTACTGAACTATGCACTAGCAAATGGTTAAGAAGGTAAAGTTTACATTGTGTGTTTATCACAATAAAAAAATTTTTAAGCATTAAGTTTCTATCCTTCTTTTCTTGTATAACTATATTTCAGAATAACTAAATAATTGATGAGGAAAGGTTCTTGAATCACAGCTAATGAATGCAGAATTAATGACAGATTTAGAAATTCACAATTTCACAACCACTGAAGAAATGATGAATCTAGGCAATAAATGGCTACACAAACCATTAAGTGGAGTTTGTGAGGAAGCTTTATAACAGAGAGACCAAGCTGACAACTCCTGAACCAATAATTTATTCTTAACATCCCCAAAATGTGACAACTACATGTTATAGAATTCCTAATGTGATGTGATAGGTAATATACGACACAACCTGCATCGTGCCCTCGCTAAAGAAAAGCAAAGAAAACAAAAACAGAAAAATAAAATAAAACAAAAATCTAAAAATATCCAGATGACTATGTTAAACAACATCATGAGGAGGTGGTATCAGCAAAAATGGCAGAGTAAGGATCTCTGAAAATTCTGTCCTTCATAAAAGCAAAAGTCAAGAGGATCAGCTTTTTCAGAACTCTGGAAGTTAATCAGTTTATTATTAACAGAGCATTTATTCAAAAAAAAGAAGAAAATGACTGAATCTCATTAAGAACAGCCATCTTTGTGGCATTTTAACTTGCTCTCATTCCATCCCCCACTCTCCAGCGCCACACTAGTCTTAAAAACAACTAGCCTACACTTGCAGTGAAAAGTAGCAGCCTGGCAGCCGCCGCAAGAAGCAGAACAGGACGGAACTCCTTCCAAACTACAATTCTAAAGAATTGTCATTATCTGACCTGTCTGGTGATTCCTTGAAAGATCCCACTTGCAAGACCATCTGTATTTGACCTGACTCAGTGCTTTCCCAGTATGATAAGCCCTGGGGGACATCAAAAACAATTAAAGGCAAATGTTTAACTTCACTACCTAAGTGACACCAGGTGGAGCAAACGTTAGACTAACCAAAAAGCTTAAGAGGAAAAGCTGAGGAATGTGATATCCATAGAGACTTTGAAAATCCTGGGAATCTAGAAGACCAGGTGCATGCGTAGGGCTGTGCACAGGCTCAGAAAAAGCCTGAGAAGGCCCTAAGCTCTCACCCATGACTGACTTCAAGGACGCACACAAGCAAGAGAAGGCTAGGGAAGGTGTGTCAGTTTCCTGGCTGAGTGTTGGGAATGTGCCCTAAGAGGAACACAGAGCCCCTTGGCAAGGACTGGGAGACTTACTGGTTCCAGGCACTAAAGGAAATCTCTGCTCATTCACTAGCTGCCAACTGAACTAACCAAGCAGACACTTCAGTGGCCACACGAGACAAAGAACACAGACTTTACAGAATTAGTTCAGAAAAGCCATTAAACAAACAAAAACAATATCTACAACAAACAGTAACAACAACAAACCCTGGAGTGATGGGGGGAAGAATCTGATTTCTAGACTTGCTATATTGCATTATTTTAAAATGTACAGATTTCAACAAAAAATTAAGAGACATGCAAAGAAACAGGAAAGTATGACCCACACATGGGAAAAAAAGCAATAAGTAGAAACTGTCCCCAAGAAACCCAGATGATGACCTAACTAGACAAAGACTTTAAATCAGCTGCTTCAAATGGAATGGAATAATATTCAGCCGTAAAAAGGAACGAAGTATTGAAACATGCTAAAACATGGATGAATCTTGAAAATGTTATGCTAAGTAAAAGAAGCCAGTCACAGAAGACCATAGATTATATGATTGCATTTATATGGAATGTCCAGAATAGGCAAATCTATAGAGATAGAAAGTAGATTAGTGATTGCCTAGGACTAGGGAGGGTGGGTGTGGGGGAATGGGGAGTGTCTGCTTATGGGTAGGGTTTTTTGGAGGAAAAGGGGATAATGAAAATGTTCTAAAAATGACTTTGGTGATGGTTGCACATATCTATGAATCCACTAAAAACCATTGAATTGTATTCATTAAATGAGTGAATTGTATGGTATATGAACTATGTCAGTAAAGCTGTAATTTAAAAAACAATAAAACTAGACCTAAGCAAAGAAGAACAGCCAGGTACGGCCATACGAGGAAGAGCCACTCCTTTGCCGAATGCTGCTCAGCCAGCTTCTCCACACTCAAAGAGACTCTAGAAGAAATTGTAATTACAGGCCCACGTCTACTTTAACTTTGCTCTTCAAGAAATTGACTGCTGGTGGCCACAATAAGCCCCTGCTCCCATTCCGTTTCAGCCTTGATGATTTAGATGCAGGTGTACTGAGAGGGGGTCACTCGCTGGCTTAAGCGCTGCATGGAATTAAAATGAGAACCAGCTAATATACATTTCTTTAGTATGTATTTGTTGGACACTTGAAAACTCTTGCAACCAGGCCACAGGTGGAGTGGCGAGCTCATAGTCAGAGGAGTGGCCTCTACCTTGGATGGTCAGTAGGTCAGTGATGAGTGACCCAAGCCCACAGTGGGGACCCAAGGATGAGCAGAACAGACACGTTCCTGCCCTCAGGGAGCCTCAAGTCTAGTGGGAGAGGCAACTATGAACCAAGTCATCAGCCCAGGTGAGGACCTGAAGGAAAGGTGACCATCCTGCAGGAGCTCCTAAGCAAGAGGCCACACCACGACCAGGTAGTTGAGAAGGTCCAGATGCACACTGGGAGTCTCCACTGGGACAAGAGTGGGGTAACATTCTGTTTCTTGGTTTGGGTGATGGTTACACAGGTGTATTTACTCTACGAAAATTCAGCAAGCTGCTTGCCTATGATTTGTGCATTTTTCTCTGTATATGTTATACTCTAATAAAAACTTTACTTGAAAATATTCCACTGTGTGGAATGTTTGAAATCAAACACAGACACCTTTCTGCATCTCTGTGCGGCCCCCAGCTTCCTATAGCTGTAATTCACACCCTCAGTCCATATTCTCTAGGCTCAAAACTCACCAGCCTTCATTTGGGGCCAGGAGTGCCGAGATTTTCCTGATCTAAGACTTTCCTACATGTTTTTATTTGGCCTGAGGTATGTGTGCCTGCTCTTCACAAACCTGGTATTTCTAAACCTCCAACCTCTATTGAAATGCCACCCTCTCCCGGAGGCCTGCCCTCACCACTCCGCCTGAGTTGCCTGGCGCCCTCCATGATCCTGTCACGGTGTTTGCGTTCATTGCACTAGATTCGCTGCACTTCTGTTTTTAAACATCTGTCTCCCATGATAGACTCTGAGATCCATGAAAGTCAAGGCTATGTCTTATGCCACATTTTATCCCCAGTGAGCAGCAAAGTGCTTGACACATAGTGTAGACTTGTAATACATTTCTGTGGAATGAATGAATGAAGAAATGGAAGGCAATGCTCAACCCCAAAGAGTTATATGGAGCAATAATGTGGCCTTTCAGGCATGGTGGCAAGACAGTGGGTGAGGTTTTATTGGCAGAATCTTGTGGCCCCCATTCAACCATCCTAGATAAGCAATTACTAAAGATTACAGATTATAATTACTCCCGAGCCAGTCTTTTAAGGAGAAGGAAATTCATGGAACAGCACAATGAAAGGAACAAAGTCCCTATCATTCCTGCCATCTCCTCACCCCTACCAACCCGGGAGATCTGTAGTGTCACAGCATATTGATTCTTAAGACAATGGCACAGGGGTAGTTCTGGCTCCTCAAAGGATGTGACTATCAAAGCATCTTTGTGAGCAGGCGTGATGACGCTTTTCTCATGCAGCAGGGAGAGACTTCAGGCTGTAATTTTACCCGAGGCCCCTATTATCAAAGCCATACCACCTCCTCCCCAACCTTAGAATGTACCTAAAAGTACTCCCCCAAAGGTACCAGGTGCAGCTGGGGAAGGTCTGTTAGTGTCAAAGGAGATGTTAGGAAAGTAGGACGAGCTTAAATCAGAGCTGGTCAGAGATGGGGCCAGCATCACTGAGTCAGCCCTATGTTGGTAACCTACCCTCACAAAGAAGCCTCTGGCCAACCTCCTTGTCCTGCTCTGACCAGTCACCTGCCCACAGCCCAACCCCTCACCCGAGTACAGCCCAATGCTCACTCCAACCACAGCCTGACCCTCACTCTACCAATAGCCTTACCCCTCAGCCTGGCCTCAGATGGACCCCCTAATCCCAGGCATAACCACTCTTGTCCTTGAATGCACATCTTATGTCTTTACCCAGACAGTGAACTTTCTGGAGCAAGTCACCAATATCCTCTCGGAGACTGAATATACAAACGGACAATGGCCAGACCATATCTGACAATAGAACTCTGACCCACAATCTGTAGGAACCAACCAAGGAAGCCACAAGCCTGCAGCAATCAGCCCAGAATGGTCAGGAACTGGTCAATGACTTCCAGCTTCTTTATTTTTTGTACCTCCTTCCAACTCAGGACTAACCAGAGAAAGCCAAATATGCTTCCAACCAATCACAGAAGATGCCCCCCTTCTAGTCAGGCCCCCTCCCACATCCCAGGCAAAGAACCTCCAATCACAGCACACCTGGAGCCTCCCTTCCTTTTTTCACCGTAAAGTTTTCCCACTCCCCCTGCCTGCTTTGAGTCCCTCCCTGCCAAACATAAGCGATGGTGGCCGACTCCCGTGCTATAGCAGGCTCTAAATAAATAGCTTCTGTTTGTTCTTATTTGGGTGGTCTCCATTTATTTTCACAGCTTTCCTGGATGTCCCACTAAGATACAGTCTGCACTGTATCTTATCTTATCCATCGCTACAGACCCCAGCCTTTGGCCAGGTGCGTCATCTGTAGATGCTACATGAGCCCCTGTGCCTTGCTGCTCATGGCTCGTCAATCCACGCCAACGTGTAAGTCAGCACTGGGTCTGAACTTCCTTCCCTCTGCATTGAGTTCTTAGCTACTTATTAGCAGTTTAGTGCCCAGGCTTTGTTGTTGGTTCCCATTTGTTTGCATCCTTCGTGGAGTTAGGCCATTCCTTTTCATCTCTTTGGCTGACTTTGTGCTTCCATTTTGTGTCGTGCTGTCAAAACTGTTGTTTGTCACGAGAAGGAGAGTCACAGAGTAGAACACAGGCATAGGCCCTGTAGGCCTGTAGACGAAGCCAGCCTCGTAGAACAGCGAGTCTCTGGTTCTCACTGGACCAGGATCCATTCAGACAAACTTTGCTGTGCGTCACCAATAAAGCTGGATAATGTTCTTCTTCCATCCCAAGACTCTGTCCAGAGACAGCCTTCTCTCTGGTTTTTATAGGGAGCAAATTGTCAGGTCTGCTTTTGGAGACAGCCAACTGTCAGGCCGAGGGCCCAAGACACAAGGTGCCCAAGCGTCACATTTCTGCTGACCGTTGCCAGCTCTCACGGGGACATCCACATATAAGTCCTCTCCTCGTCCAGGAAAAACTCCTGCTTCTTATATACATTCTCATTGGAATCCTAATTCTCTCTCTAAACAGCCCAACTTCACCAACGGTCATTTGGACCTTCAATGGCCACTCTGGGGAGCATGTGACTTGAACAAAATTGTTCATTTGAGAGGTGCTTTAGAAAACAAAGAGAATGAGTTGTTTTGATCCGTATGCAGTCTAGACTCATTTTCCTAGTAAATCCTTTCCTTCCTTGTCCTCCAGTTACTTCCCTAGATCCAGTCCTGCCTCTTCCCCCTCCTCCTTCCAACTCCTCCCCCTCCACCCCTTCATTGACTCCTCCCTCCTCTTCCCCTGCCCAGTCCCCTCGCCTTTCCCAGCAACTCCTAAGATCCTTAAGTGCCAGTTGCCTCTAAAGATACATCGCTCCCACAAGGCAGAGATGCAGACAACTGCAGAATTTAAACCTTGGGGGCTGGCCCAGTAGTGCAGGAGTTAAGTTCACACATTCCGCTTCTCAGCAGCCCGCAGTTCACCAGTTCGGATCCCAGGTGTGGACATGGCACTTCTTGGCAAAAGCCATGCTGTGGTAGGCATCCCATGTATAAACTAGAGGAAGATGAGCACGAATGTTAGCTCAGGGCCAGTCTTCCTCAGCAAGAAGAGGAGGATTGGCAGTAGTTAGCTCAGGGCTAATCTTCCTCAAAAACAAAAAACCTTGGACCAGAGCTGAGCTAATAACTGTAATTAAGGATTTCCCTAAACCCTGACAAAACCAGCAACTGTTCATGGAGGAGTTTAGAATCCTTTTGGAGGACATGTGACCCAGGGTTACCTAACCTTATATCAATTTTACACATGCTGGTCAGAACCTCAGATGCTAAATCTTGGATGACAAAAGCTGATTGGATTGACCTGTATCTCTCTTTCCACAATAAAACTGAAGATCAGAAACAGGCCCAAAAAGTGGGGCAAAAATCTCCTAAAAGCCATACATGAAACATTTCTAATAAAAATCTATTGGACCATAATGCAATGATACAAAAGAAGAAGAGCTAAGCTATGGTGCCCTGTTGTTTGGTCAAACCCTAACCAGGATATTGCTGTGAAGGTATTTCGTAGATGTGATTAACATCTGTAATCAGTCAACCATAAACAAAGATTGCCCTCGATAACGTGGATGGGCCTCATCCAAGCAGTTGAAGGCCTCAGAAGCACAACTGAGGTTTCTTGAAGAAGGAATTCTGCCTCAAGACTGTACGATAGAAATCCTACCTGAGTTTCCAGGCTGCTGGCCTGCCCTACAGATTTCAGACTCAAGACTGCAATGTCAACTCTACCTGAATTTTCAGCCTGCACTACAGATTTTGGACTTGCCAACCCCCGGAACTGAGTCACCCAATTCCTTAAAATAAAACTTAAAAATATACATACATACATATATATATATATGTACATATATATACTCACACATACACATATCTCCTATTGGTTCTGTTTCTCTGGACAACCTGACTGGTACAGCCCTGCAGATCAAACAGCTAGATGGCTCCCTTCCCAACTGACCACCTTTATTAACAAGGACACACATAGATATTGTAAACAGAAGGCACACTGGTAAAAGATCATCCTATCTGACAAAAGAAAAACCAAGACGAAGAAAAGCCCCTCAATTTAGGTCAATGAGGGCACTCCAAGGAAGGAAAAAGCATTCAATATCCTGCCTTACCTGTACACCTCCAAGGTAAATTAACTATGAATATAAATTGTCATCTTCATCAATTCCTCGTAGATATGGGTGCTGGTATTTCTACAATAACCCCCACTGTGTTCAACTTCTTCCTCGGAGTAAACATACCACACAGGTGACAGATATTTCAAATGGCACACAGAATTTCCCTCTCTCCCAGCCCATCACTTTAACCCTTGAGCCCTTGACTGAAAAACTTTCCTTCCTGCTCTGTGATACCACCCCTACCAATTTCAAAAGAAAAGACTGACTTCGCAAATGGGATTGTAATATTAAATGTACACCAGAGGGACTATTTTCTTGAGGTTCCAGAGGACTTTTCTATTCATAATGAAGTTGTGTCTGCTCTGCATATCCTTTCCCCTTCTCCATTATATTTGATCCATACACCAGAACAACTTCCTGACATCATTTGTGATTCTCTAAAAGAAATGCTTTGGCAGATATTTCACCAAGCGATCTCAGTGAAGGTGTGTTAGTTTCCTGTGGGTTCTGTAACAAATTAATACAATACCATAGCTCAAAACAACAGAAATCCATTCTCTCACAGTTCTGAGGCCACAAGTACAAAATTCAAGGCATTGGCAGGGACACACTCCCTCCAAAGGCTCTGGGGAGGGGGATCCATTCCTTGCCTCTTCCAGCTTCTGGTGGCTGCTGGCAATCCTTGGCTTGTAGTCACCTTATCCAGCCTCTGCCTCTGTCTTCACATTGCTTTCTCCTCTGCATGTCTGTGTCTCATCTCCCTCTGGCTCACTCTTCTAAGGATACTTGTTATTGCATTCAGGGTCCACCTGGATAATCTCCTCATCTCAAGATCCTCAACTTAATTACATCTGCAGAGACTCTTTTTCTAAATAATGTAACATTCACCGGTTCTAGGAGTTAGGGTGTGGACCTATCTTTTGGGGGCCACCATTCAACCCAGTACACAAAGTTATGATCCTAACCAAACCACCAGAGAATAGACCTCTGGAGGGATTCCAAGAGGCCATTATAAAACACCAACATTTAGCCTCTGATTTTGAAAAGGAAGGATGGAAAAAATCGGGTTGTAACCTTTACTCACATAATCTCTGGTACTCTGAAGGTGGCCAGTTGGTGGAACCAGATGATTTCAAATGGATATTAGTTGAACGAGTCAACAATGCTATACAGCTACAGACCCAGAGAAGCCTTCTTCCCAGATCAGAGCAGTCTCTGGGTCCTGCAGTGTCCAATGACCACCTTCCTTCAAAGGCCTGAGGCCCTAGACAACAGCCCAAGCCAAGAATTATAGGTACCTATTGGGCACATCCCAATCATGGGCCCTCCTTTTCCCTCACTGGGAGCAGGCGCATGTACCACTCTCATCCAGCTCCCTGGCGGTGCCTCTCAGAAGCACTCCTCCTAGGAGAAAGGTGCCCACTGCCACCCGGGACAGACCAGCCTCCCTGGAATGTGTGAAAGCCCTCCCTAGCCATCTCTCACAAAAAGCTGGCATTCTGAGACAGAGACATACTCTAACCCTCAGGAACACTCGGAGGCGCACGGTCCTTCATGCTTTCATCCATTCATTCATTCATGCATTTGTTGATTCATGCTTTCATCTATTGTCTCACAAACTTCCACTGAGCAACTTCAAGAAGGCCAGCACTAGCCTCTGAGCAAAAAGACAAATATGTCACAGTCACTGAAAAGCTCAAGAAGGTCACTATCTCCAGATACCACAGGTAAATAATGAAACTACAAAACACTACTCTACAAAGGAATAAATCAAAGACAATGGGGACCCAGAGAAGGAGGTAAATGGGATTTTTGCAAACCGTCCCCATGTGGGACAGAGTTATTAGCACTATTTTACACTTACGGAGAAACGGAGGATCAGAGAAAGTACGTGACTAGTCTGCAGAGAAGAGAGGAAGGGAGAAGGCATGAGAACACTAAAGTAGGGGAAGCCAGTCTTGCTTCCTAATTTTTTTCCTGATACTTGGGATTTTTTGCTTCCTCCATCTTTCCATTCCTCCAGGGTTCATTATCAAGGGAAATCCCCCTTTCTTCACTGTCTTCTCCAGAGATTGAATCTTGGCCCAGGAGAAAGGAAATGGAAAATGGCGTTGGGCCATCTTATTTGTGAGCTGGAAGGTTGACATCCCAGCAGAAATTGTCTCTGCCTCCCTAACTGGGATTGGAGTCATGCAGCCCTGCCTGGCCTCTCAAATTGATCATAGGCCACTTCCTCTGAGTTGACTGGCCTGTTTTAATTCGTTGTTAGGAAATATCCCTTATTAGCACGTTATTGCTCCATTTAGGAGTGAGAATTTGTCAGGGTAGCAAAGTTTATCCCCGGAACTTTCTCATCTTCCTTTTCATGACCATAGAATATCCCTATGGAACGTCTTCCCCACTCCTCCCATGACCCACAATGGGTAATCAGATCTCAGGGCTGGAGATAGTAACCTTGTATGTCACTTCTACTAGGAAGTAAAAAGAATTTGTGATGTAATGAGAAACACTGGTTCTTGGAGTTGGAAGACCAGACTATAAGGGTGGAATTCCAGGCACTGATAAAAGAAGGTGAGACATTCTACTAGAGACAGATTGCTTACTCTCCATGAAGGTTAAAGTAATGCTAGCTGAGTCCCCGCTGCCCACCTTAATTTTCCTTTTGCATTCCCAGGGCAGAATGAGTTGGAATTGTCACTATCATCAACTCATTCCAAAATGGCATTGCCAACTCGAACCCTTTTTTAGTAAGCCGTGTGGAAATGTGCGTGTTGGGCCTGGTCTAGAAGGAATAGCCAGATAAAAAGTCACAAAAGTGTCCAGTGGGCCTCAAAGAGTGTTAGCTGGGGGTTCAGAGCAGCCAATCTATCTGCTCTTTTCACAATTCATCCATCGGGCATTGCCTAGATAATACCCAAATCGAGTCTTTCTGGGGCTCTTGCTGTCCTGTAGCATAGACAGTCTGGATGGTCATTAAATCCGTTTCCTTTTCCTGGTCATTTGGCTGAACCACATTTCTCCCTTGAATCTAAGTGGGGCCATGGGCTTGGACACAAGACCTAAAATGTCCACGTTAGCCCCCACACTCCCTCTTTGTTCTTTGGGCAGCTGGATGTAGACAATCTAGAAGAGATCTCCAGGACCTTGGAGAATTCCCAGGCTCTAGGAAACATTGGAGCTACACATTGGAAGGAGCCTGGATCCCTGAGTCTCCCCATGGTGATCTGTCCATGAGAGCTGCCCAGCCAAGTACGTTCACATTGCACAGAGAGTAAAAGAGAAATAAAGTTTCACTGTGCTAAGCCACTGAAATTTGGGGGTTGTTGATTACAGCTTTTAACCTACTGTAATTAGTCTCTGCCCCACTGAGAATTTTCCACCCTCGTGAATCTTCCAACTTTGTCCAATACCCTGCTTCCCAGCTTATTTCCTCTCCCGAAGAAAATTAAAAGAAACAAAAGAATATCTCTTAAGAGCAGAAGCAAACACAGCTGCAAAGCAAACAGCCACCCCAAGCGTCCCCAGAGCAGTGGGCTGCTTGCCAGGCTCCGAATAGGAATATCATTCCATTGCCGCCCACCCCCACCCTCTACCATGTCCACTGTGATGGGAGATGTCGCTAATTTCCAACTTCATTAATTTTAGGCAAGTATTAGCATAAATAGTCAAATCATAACTGGCCTCAAGCCCCTGCAGCCTCTGTTGACACAGGGATGGGCTGGGAGGATGCGTTACTCAGTATTTCCTTCCTGCAGAAACAACATCCTTTCCCCAGATACTCCCTAACCCATCACCACTGAGAGGTGGCCAGTCCTGAGCACCAAACTCTGCTGTTGTGAGGGTGGGAGAGGGTGGCACTGAGCCCTCAGCTCTTCACCCAGTGCCCCTGCTGACCACAGTATGTACCTGGGGTGAATGACACAATTAGGAGGATCAGGAAGGCTTAGGTTGTGGACCAGTCAGCATTACGGGTCAGCGTGTAGCCAGGAGTAGGGCCAAGCCATGGTAAGCTTAAAGGACAGCCCAGTGCTAGAGATCCATTTGGAGCTGACAAATAGAATGGATGTCCATGTTGTTCATAGGACCGATCCCAAGAAGTGGCAGCTTCAGCCAAGTCTTCCAATGACATGCATGCATTTGCACTCTTATAGGCTCCCATGCTATTCTGAACTGGGGAAGTTTTGGAAAAGAGCGCCATTGAATTTGTATTTTCTTTGAAGATTTAAATGAAAAGAGTCTCCAGGACCCAGATATCAAACCCAGAGAAAACTTTTGTCCGTAGCAATGGCAAAGCTCTCCCCCTAACTCTTCTGGGTAGCACTTTCTGCCATTGACTGTAAGCCCCAGGATGGCAGGGACTTTGCTTTATTCATCATCTTATCCCCAGTGCCAGGAACAGTTCCTGGAATATAGCTGGTGATTAGTTAACTTGTGTTGAATGAACGAAAAAGATTGCCCAGGCTTGGTGGGGTGGGAGGGAACTGGAGGTTGACTGGCCAGTCCCCACAAACAGGGTATCTGTCAGAAATATGGCTTCTCCATCAGCATTCTCTCCCATTCAGCATCCTGACTCTGAAAGTGATAATCACCCTGCACCATCTTCATGAAAGAGGGGTAGGTCCAGATCTCCTCAAACCATTCATGACCTCTTGTAGAGTTCCTTCAAGATGCCTCTTTAGGGGCTAGAGTCCAGGTTTATCGGCCCAGGGGTTAACTTCTCAGTTGTGAGATGAACCTTTCCTTTTTCTTTATTCTCATAAAGGAGCAGAGATAAACACAGGTGCTTAGGTTTCCATCTTAAATAGAAGCCCTGCCGCTGGATTACAAAGAACCCAAGGGCAAGCAGGGTCTCCAGGTCTCACTGCTCCAGCAATTTGAAGCCTTCCTATATTTGAGCATCTGATGAGCTGGTAGAGGAAACTCACAGACAATCTCACAATTCCTGCCCTTCCACATTCTTTTCCTTAGAGCTCTGGAATCTCTGAAATCCTCTTGCAGACCTTCTGAGGCCTGCCAAACTCTGAAATGGGGAGAGCCTGCCCCATCTTCTTCTAGGCATCCTATCCCACAATTCCTCATCACCAGTACTTGCCAGCAAGTCCAGCTGGCCTTCTTTCGGCTTTAGATCAGTATCAGGCACAGAATGTGACACCTGTCAAGTAGCACCCTACCACCCCAGCCCCAGCTTAAGTTTAACCGTTTCCTATTCCCAGTCATCCTTGAAAACTGAGCAAGCCTAGAATCAGATGTACTCTACACGATTACCCCATCCCACAGTGTGAGACGGCAGCCAGTCATGGACACAGAGCCTGCTATCCAATACTCCCAGGTGAGGAGCTCCTGGTCTGTCCTTCCAGAGCCCTCTGCCCCTTTCCTTCAAAGAAGAAGCCCAAACCCAAGATTTTGCTTTTGGTCAGCTGCCAAGTCATCCTTACAAACCACCTTGCTTTCATTTCATCTCTCCATGGTAAGTTCCCAAAGATCCAAGTAAAAGATGGAAGATGTGAGGGAAAAGCTGAGGGCCTTAGAAGAGTTGTTTCTAAGCTATGACTATAACAGCTTTGATTTCCTGGGCTGGAGAGAGGGGTGTGAGTGGAGGTTATCCATCTCAGCATTTCTCCCATGTTCTGCTTCTTCTCCAAAGCACCTTCTCATCTAGGACCCCGAGACATCCAGCCCCTATGTCATTCACAGTCAGTGGGCACCAAGGCCATGAGTTCTCTGCCCCCTCCCAGACATCTCTCCAAACAGGCCCTAATCTCCTTGGCATGGCTCAAGACTTCCTCATGCCACACCTATATGGTGGCATCAGCCTCCCTGCTATCCCTCCTTTCTCTGCCACCCAGTGTCCAGCATGGTGTCTGCCACGTGACAGCAGCCTGGTTACTATTTCCATGTTGGCCAAATGAATGCTCTTTTTCTCTCTCCCTACCCAGGCCTGCTGGTCTGCAAGAGGCTCCTCAAACCCTCCCATCCACCTGTGTCCCCAGTTTCACACCTGGTCTGCTCTCTTTCCTCCTGGTTCAAATCCTGCCCTGCCAAGCCCCAGTCAGCTAACAAAAGCAGACACTGCTCTGGGGCCTCAACACATGTAACTCATCTAGCCTTCATGCCACTAGGTAGACACTACTCTTAGCCTCGTTTTATGAGGAGGAACTGAGGCACAAAGAAGTCAATCAGCTAATACCGGGTGGAGTCTAGCCTTGGAGCCACACTGTCTGCCCCCGGCCTTAACTATCCCAGCCAAAGGGCCTTTCCCACCCTCCAGCACTTAAAAAAACCTCCCTCCCCAGAACAAGGCCACTTATTTAGTGCGGTAGGGAAGTTTTATTCCGACATCTGATATGGAGAATATGCAGTAACAGTGCAGAAGTCGGTGTATGCAAACCTATGTGTCGTGGGGAGGGTCCCAAGGCTGTAACCACATCCTGTCTTGTCCCTTCGCCCATCACAGGCCAGCTCAGGCATCTGACCCCTTCCAGGGCTCTCTCCACGCCACCGCATGGAACAGAGGTGTTTGAGACCCTCCTCTGGCCAGTGGCCTGAGAGAAGGAAGAAGTTGCTGCAGATCCATCCAGGCAGTCCCAGGAGCCGACCCGCCGCGGCACTGCGCGGTCCAGTCCGCAGTCCGCAGATCCCAGGCGCTTGCTGCTCTCTGCTGGCCAGAGCCAGGAGCCCGGGGACCCGGAGATCGCGCCTTCTACGCTCCGCGCACCCAAGGGCACCAGCGAGTGACCCAGAGGCTGGGGAAAGGGCGGGAGGAAGGGGGACGCAGCTGAAGGAAAAGGGAGAGGGGGCCCGGGAGGGGAGCGGGAAGGAGCGCGGAGCGGACCGCGAAGGGAGAGGGCGGCCGTGGGCACCCGCGGCGAGGCAAGGGTGGCTGCCGTGGGACCGGAGTGCGCTCCAGTGCCGCGGCCCCTCCATACCTCGGAACGCCCGCTTGCCGGCGCGCAGAGCCCCTTCTCCCAGCCAGGGTGGCGCCCCCTCCCTCGGCGCTGGCCGCCCCCTCCTCCTTCCCGGCGCTGCCCCTCCTCCGTCCCGCCCCCCGCGCCCAGTTGAGAGCGCCGCAGTGGCCGCTGCCTGCACCGCCCGGTCCCGAGCCGCCGCTTTGCCCGCTCGCCCGGGCACACTCAGAGAGCGGCGCGCGTCGCCGGCCCCAGCTCTTCGGGCCGACTCCACGGCCGGCCTCCGGGAGCCCCTGCAGCCGCCCCGGCCAGCCGCGCTCGGCTCGCGGGCAGCCGCGCTCCGCGTCATAGGAACTTGAGCAGGACCCCGACGGGACCAGCGCGCAGGGCTGTCCCCGGAGCTCCGCGGCTATGCCCAGTGCCCCTCTCCCTGCCAGTGGCTCGTCCAGCGCCCGGGCCCGGCCCCCGACGGCCGCGCTTTGAGATGACTTTCCGAGACCTCCTAAGCGTCAGTTTCGAGGGACCCCGCCCGGACTGCAGCGCCGGGGGCTCCAGCGCGGGCGGCGGCGGGGGCGGCCCGGGCGGCCCGGCCGCCTCGGAGGGCCCTGCGGTGGGCGGCGTGCCGGGGGCCGCGGGCGGCGGCGGCGGCGTGGTGGGCGCGGGCAGCGGCGAGGAGAACCGGAGCTCCGCCGGGGAGCCGGGGGGCGCGGGCACTGGCGGCGAAGTGAATGGCACGGCGGCCGTCGAGGGGCTGGTGGTGAGCGCGCAGGGCGTGGGCGTGGGCGTCTTCCTGGCCGCCTTCATCCTAACGGCAGTGGCGGGCAACTTGCTTGTCATCCTCTCGGTGGCCTGCAACCGCCACCTGCAGACGGTCACCAACTATTTCATTGTGAACCTGGCCGTAGCCGACCTGCTGCTGAGCGCCACGGTGCTGCCGTTCTCGGCCACCATGGAGGTTCTAGGCTTCTGGGCCTTCGGCCGGGCCTTCTGTGACGTGTGGGCCGCCGTGGACGTGCTGTGCTGCACGGCCTCCATCCTCAGCCTCTGCACCATCTCGGTGGACCGGTACGTGGGCGTGCGCCACTCGCTAAAGTACCCTGCCATCATGACGGAGCGCAAGGCGGCCGCCATCCTGGCGCTGCTCTGGGCCGTAGCCCTCGTGGTGTCCGTCGGGCCGCTGCTGGGCTGGAAGGAGCCGGTGCCCCCTGACGAACGCTTCTGCGGCATCACAGAGGAGGCGGGCTATGCCGTCTTCTCCTCCGTGTGCTCTTTCTACCTGCCCATGGCCGTCATCGTGGTCATGTACTGCCGCGTGTACGTCGTGGCGCGAAGCACCACGCGCAGCCTCGAGGCGGGCGTCAAGCGCGAGCGGGGCAAGGCCTCCGAGGTGGTGCTGCGCATCCACTGTCGCGGAGCCAGCCTGGGCGCAGACGGGGCACACGGGATGCGCAGCGCCAAGGGCCACACCTTCCGCAGCTCACTGTCCGTGCGCCTGCTCAAGTTCTCGCGCGAGAAGAAGGCGGCCAAGACGCTGGCCATCGTCGTGGGTGTCTTCGTGCTCTGCTGGTTCCCCTTCTTCTTCGTCCTGCCCCTCGGTGAGTGACCCCTCTCCCACCAGCCCCGTCCCTTCCTTCCTGACCTTGTGGCTGTGCCTTCCTGGCACGCGGGCTTGGATGGCCCTCCCAGGTGGAGGGTGACTCTCCACCTGAACATAGAAGGTTGACTTAGTGACCTCCCTGGCCTCTTAGGCAGGTGTGCGTGCGCCACTTCGCGCGGGACAGACCAGGGGTTCTCCATGCTTGCGGGATTTGTTTTACAGGCTTCTAACTTTTCTGTCCTTCCTCCTTTTCATTGCCATTACGAGCCCCAGGCTTGTTTTAGGCTCCTGACCCTTCTAAATATAAAATGTCTGGAAATCTGTGTGCCCATGGTATGTGGTCAGCAGTGTATGTGCTGTCTACATAGTACCCCGTCCTGAGCCCCTAGATATAAACGCCAACCCCCAGAGGTCGGTGCAGAGAGTGGGTGGGCCTCCATTCGTTCTTGGCCTGCAAGCCCCGGCCTGTGAACATGCACATCGGCAGACATCAGGGGCCCGGCCAGCTTTCTCCCAGCACTCATTCAGTTTGGAAGCCACCCCAACTCGGAGACCCTCCCCAGTCGGAATCTGTAAATGCCCTGGGCTCTCAGTTCTGAAATCTCCTCTTGGAGGTGGGGGACTCTGTGGCGACAAGAAGGAAAGGGATAGGGGCAAATTATCAAATGGACAGTTAATACTGTTCCTCGTCGTTTCTTAAATTTACCGAGTCCTCTAGCTCTTCTGGTGAACTCTTCTATTTCTTTTACAAGCATCCCCGCAGTGCTGGGAGGGGGGCAGCTGTTCTCAGGGGCTTCCTCCCACCCCTTGAGGCCCCTCCTGGATGCCTTGGGGCTGGGTCAGCACAGGGAGGTGAAGGGGGACAGCATCTCTAGGGACGCATTTGCCCTGAGTCACTTCACCCACGGCTGCAACCTTAGCAGGGCCAAGCTGGGTCCTCCCCTGCCTTTCCCAGGCCTCGCTGCTTCTACACTCTGCGGCTGAGTCAGAAAAGAGACAATAGCCTCCCTCCTGCGCCCCTGCAGGCCCTCTCCACGCGGCAGCCAGAGTGACCTTTATACATTATAAATTCGAGTGTCACTCTCTGCGAAAACCCCTCAATGCTTTCCCCCTGCCCTGGGAGCAAAATCCAGACTCTCCTCCATGGCCTGTGAGAGGGTCACCTTCAAATTTGTTATGGTCTAAACCAAAATGAGACACCATGAATATTTATGCTGGGACCACAGGCACAAACCAGGACAGTGGGGCAAACCTGACATGTGGTCCCCTTCCTGTAAGGAGGGCCCTAAGTGACCTGTAAGGCCCTGAGTGACCTGTAAGGAGGCCTCCTCCCCTCTGGCCTCATGGCCTTGCTGCCCTCCCCGTTGCTCACTGCTCGGGCCCTTCTGAGCCTCTTCTGGTCCCTTGTCCACCCCAAGCTCAGGCCCTTGCCCTCGCTCTCCCCTCTCTCTGGCCAGCTCCCCCCCCCCCCATCCCCCACTAGCTAACTCCCCATCCTTTAGGTCTCGGTTTAAACGTCCCCTCTCCAGAGAGGCCTTCCCTTCTGCCTCAGTCTCAGTGTGTCTTTCCCTGCTTTTTCTCCCCCGGGGGACAGGCTCTCTTCCTTTACTGGCTCCTTATCTGTAATGTGGTGTCCTTATCAAATGTGGGTGTCACTTGGTTTGGTGTCTGATTTCCCCCACCAGCCAGGAAGCTCTGCTAGGGCAAGGCTGTGTTGTCCCAGAATCCACAGTGCCTGGCATATGAGGAGCAATAGAACACAGCAGGAGGACCCCAGGCTCTGGCACCAGATAGCCTAGGTTCGAATCCCACCTCCACCCCTTACTAGCTGTGTAACTGCCAGCAAATTCCTGACCCTCCCTGTGCCTCTGTTTCCTCATCTATAAAATGGGGATGGCGGTGATGATAATCATGCCCACCCGTAGGGCTGTCATGAGACTGCAGGGAGGCATTATATGTGACTATAACTGTGGCCCGTGGTGAGTGCCGTGTGAGCTCTTGCTTATATAGTAGATGCTCAATAGGAGGTAAGGAATGAATAGATCACGGGCTTGAAAATCGTTCAGCTGGAGGCTGCTGCGGGGGCCAGCGGAGAGATGGAGGGGGTAGGGGACAGCCAATAGGCTGGCAGGAGGAAGTCAGCGTGCCCCCCTTTAGAAGCCCACCCACCCAGGATTTAGAATCCCCAAGCCCACCACCCAGGCTCCTTTCCCCACCAACCATCCCCTGCCGTGGCCTGGCCCAGCTGTGCCCAGTCCCAGGTGCCCTCATGGCCACCCCCCTCCCCCGCCCCCTGGTTCACCCTGGTCCCCTGTGGGGAATGATCAACCTCTGTGTAGAATGCCACCTCCCTGTGTGGTCTTTCAACTTCTTTTAAGATTTCTAGTTACAGAATAATGCACAGATAAGGAGAAAATAATATAACAAGTGCCATGGACCCTAATTCCCCATGTTAAACAGATGTTAACATTTTGCCACATTCGCCTCAGGTCCCTTCCTCTTTTCAGTAGAACACAGCCGAAACTAAGCTGCCTCCTCCTGTCCTTCCTCCTTTTCTCCCTCCCTCCCCGGAGGAGAATCTGGTGTTTGTCACTCCCATTCATATGTTTATACTCTTACCACAAACATCTGTATCCATAATAATATATAGTACTGTTTTATGTGTCTTTAGGATTGATATAAATGGCACCATGCTGTGCATATCAGTCTTCAATTTGCCTTTTGCCTCCAGCGTTTTGGGTTGAGATTGCCCCATGCCGGTTCATTCTAGCAACAGTATCATGTTCTATTTGAGAGGCTCATGGGGAGCATTGATGCGGTCTCCTGCTGGACGTTCGATTTTTCTAATTTTTCACTGTTACAGTCGAGACTGCGAAAGGCTGCTGTTGTACTGAGGTCCAGAGCACATGCCCTCCTCTTCCAGGAAGTCATCCCTAACTTCCCATGGCCTTTGCCCCTTGCTGGCACACACTGCTCTTTCTCAATCCCTGCATCTCTGCTGCTCCTCCTCATACCTGGCCTGGGGACCAGGGGGTGCCCTTGCCTCCTCCTTCCTGGCAGTCTGTGCTGTGCCCAGCCTCCCAGGGCACCTCATCAAGCCCCGGAACAGAGCCCAAGGCCACTGGTGGAGCTGAATTGAGTGAAATCTGGCAATAATGAGTAAGCAGGACAGAGGCCAAGCAGGGAAACAATATTCTGATCTGACGTGATGTGGTGTGGAGGCCAGGACAGCAAAGAGAACAGGAGGGCAGAGCCTGCAATGGGGGCAGGAGGGGCCTGAGGGCTGTGCAGAATGGAAGAGAGCCAAGAGATCCTGACACCTCACAGCCCTTGGCCCAGGCCTAGGAGGAGGGAGGTTCCTTTGAAGGAACAAGGAACATTCTAAGCGGCAACTTTTTGGGTGAATGTGGAATCCAAGGGGCCGGCATATCATGGTAGGAGGTGCCTGTATGTGGTGGGGGGTGGAGGCCATTGGACCTTAGATAAGAGGGCCAAGGATGGCGCTGTTGCAGAAGCAGGAGCGTGGGGTTCAGTCTCTCAGAAAGAAGATGGAGGAACAAAGAGAAGAGAGGGGCTGGGGATGGAGCCTTGGGACCACCCACTTTGAAAGAAGCAGAGGAGGCAGAGAAGTGGGCAAGCAAGAGGAGTGGCACCTCCCTCCTCCCAGCCCTGGTCCCCACGCCAGCTGTGAGGAGCATCAACGGTGGAGGGATTGAGAAAGAGCTGTGTGTGCCAGCAAGGGCCATAGGCCATGGAAATGAAGGCACCCAGTAGGGCCACAACTTGCAGGTTGTGGAGCAGACCCGGCTGCCCCTCACCCACACCTCTGTACACAAAGCCGGATGGAAGAAGCAGCCTCAGACGCTGCAGGGACACAGCCAGTGAGCAACTCCAACAGCCCAGAGGGCATCTAGAGCCTTAGGAAGGGGGCCCAGGACCCCAGAGGGACTTTGGCACAGGGGGCTGGGGACTGCCTTCTATAAACTTGAAATGCTGTGGGTCAGGCCAGAGTGGCAGCAGAGAGAGACATAGATGGGGTGTCCTGAACCGTGAGACCTCTGGGGGCCCAGGTCGCTGGCCAGGAGAGACTAGGACACGGATGCCACCCACTTAAAACCTTTAGGGGCCCAGAGAGGGGCTGTGGATCATCCGCACACCTCCGGCTGCCCCCTTTCTCCTTGAGGAGCAACTGCAGGGCCTGTGGCAGGCAGGCAGAGGGCCAGCTCAATGAACCCAAGATGTCACGTGTCCGACCCAGCGATTCCTGGTAGCAAGGCCAGGGAGGTCAGCGCCGACTCCTCCAGGGCACCCGGGGAGTCACATGTGGACACAGGAAGTGCCATTTGCCCCCGTGAGAAGGCGCCCACCTGCCTGACGTTTTTCTGTGCTGATGCCCCGCTGAGCCGCCTGCTCCGTGCAGAGTGACCGCGCATCCTGGTTTGCCCAGGACGGGCCCAGTTTATGCCTGTTGACCAGCGTGGTTGCTAGGAGTGCTTCCTTTACTCTCAGAGGTGTTCCAGTCTGGATGATAGAGTATATGGTCACCAATCCTTGGTGCCTTTGGAGGAGGGGCTCTTGGCAGCCCTGCCCATGACAGATACGTGCCGTACCCCGTGTTCTCACCCCCACAAGCTGGCACCGTTCCGGGTGCCTTGGAAAATCACAAGACATTATGTAAAGGTCCCTCCCTACAGGGGTCCTTTAGCCCCATGTCTAGAGGAGTCCAAACTTGCAGAGTGCGTATGGGAGGGGCCGTAGTTAGGGCCTGCTGCCTGAAGCCTTTTGTGGAGAACCCCTGAGCAAGGGGACACTGCACAGGGTGGACCCAGCTGGAAATCGCCTGATTAAAACTCTGCCCCCCGACACTTAGTACAAGAGTCCCCTCACCCCCAGAGGTCTTGGCTGGCCATTTGGTGTAGAAATGCCAGTCTCCCTCCCTGTGGGCAAGAGGGGGAGAGAAGGACTGGAGAAACCCTGCCCCAGGCAGCGCGCATCTGC